CGCTGCCGCCCGCGGCCCCCGGCCCGGCTCCGGGCACCCCCTGCTCGGCTCCTGGGGCAGGGAAGCTCCGGCCGGTCCTGGGCGCTGTGCTGGGAGAGGACGGAGCGCACAGGAGGAACTGCCCCTGGTGCTCACCTTGGTGCCCGGCACCCCTGGCTCCTGCTGCTGGCTCTGGGCACCCCCTTGTCCAGGGGGTGGTGCCAGCTTCGTGCACCCCAGCCTTGCCCTCCCTCCTGCCCCCCACCCTGTGCRCCCTCCCTGCCCCCCTCCCGGGCACCTGCACCCCAGGGTGCAGCAGCAGCTGCCTCCGGGCTGGGGACACAGCGAGGGGGTCAGAGCCCAGGTCCCCTGCCCAGCCCTGGTGGGCTCAGCAGGACCCTGGGCTCCTGTTCCCTGGGTGAGGGTTGAGGGTGACCTCATTGCTGGTTGCCATGGCAACGGCTCACGGTGTCACGGAGCTCTGGGGAGCTGGGAGCTGCTCCCCGGGACGYGGGTCCAGACCCTGTGAGCAGGAATGGGGCAGCCGGCAAGGGTGGCTGCAGCACCCAGGTGTTGGGGGCTCCCTGCTGGGGGCTACTGCAGGCACGAGGCCATGGGGCCCGACCGGCCCGGAGCCCTGAGCTGGGGACAGCCGGGACAGCCGGCAGCAGAGCCTGCTGGGCCCAACCTGCATCCATGGGGATGCTGCAGCACAAAGGCGCATCTCTGTGGTGCAGGCAGCACCACACAGCAGCACCACACAGCAGCATTCTTGGGAGCACTGTGGGGCTGCAGCCCTGGGCGCGCTGTGGGGCAGGCAGCCCTGCTCGAGGACGGCAGCGCCGGGGCGGGCGGCCCTGTGCGGCAGTGGGGGCAGCGCTGGCGGGAGCGGGGCAGGCCGGGAGCGCGGGGCTGGCCGGCCCAGCCTCGCATTGTTCTCCGGCAGCAGCCGGAAAAACACGGYGCCCGCCCCGGAGAAGCGCAGGCGGAAAAGGAAACACAGGGACAGGGGCTGCGGGCCCAGCCTTTTGCCGTGGTGGTGGTGGGGATCTTGATGCGGGGGTGGGGAGTTGCCCCCCCAGCACAACCGCATCCCCCTGTGGCCTTTGCYGCTTCCCCAGTTTGTGCCAAGAGCTGCCGACCTGGGGGGATGGGGAGAAATCAGCTGGCAGGGGCTCTGCTGGAGCRCGGGGGAATGGGGGGTCCTTGGTGGGCACCTGCACTCGCCCCAAGAGCGCAGGGCTGGGGGGCAGCGCGGCCGGGGGCTGCGGGCGGCGGCCGGAGCCCCGGCGGGCGGGCGCGGGGCCGGGAGGAGGAGGAGGAGGAAGAGGAGGAGGAGGAAGGCGATGCGGGCAGGAGTGTGCGTGGGGGGGACTACAAGTCCCATGAGGCCGGGCGGGGGAAGCACCGGCGGGAGGAGGGGGGAGCCGGGGCCGC